TGAAAACAGCCGGAGCTGGCAAGAATACTGCCACAGGCGAGCTGAGCTCCTGAATGACACAAGAGAACGCCCTGTGCACTGCTATGATGTCCTAACGCGAAATGGATGGACGCAATATGCGCACCATTTTGGATTGGAAGAACTTAAGCATAGGTGCAATGAATGGATGCTATTTCACGGAACTTCACCAGAAGCTGCGCGGAATATCTCGAAGAGTGACTTCCGCATGAGCCTTGCAGGCGGGAGCACTGGCACCCTCTACGGTCGAGGTACATACCTTGCGGAATCCTTCACAAAAGCGGACGAGTACTCCAAAGCAGCACGCGACCCAAAGACTGGTCGAATGGAGTATGCCATGTTGCTCGTCCGAGCCTTGGGTGGTTACGTGCGCTATTGTGATGAAGCAGAGCCAAATGCGCAGGATTTGACCCGTAGCTGTATAGAAGGCCCCTATGATTGTGTTCTGGGAGATCGTCAGAAATGTCGAAATACTTACCGTGAGTTCGTTTTCTTCGATACTGAAAACCTTTACCCAGAATACATCCTGATCTACGAGCATGTCCGCGCTTGAAGATAAAAGGAGATGGACAAAAGTGCAAGGCAGCGTGGCAGATGACCTTCACTTGGGACTCATTCGATGCTTGTAGATTGTACTTTTCTGCAGAGCAATTGTGGAGCGATGCCAGGTGTGGACACTTTTTCCATCGGATGTGCTTGCGTCGTCACCTCCGGTCGTCCATTGGGACACTTGGCGATGCAAATAAAACGGCAAACTCCTGTTTACTCTTTTCATCCCCTTTCGCACACACTTAGACAATGGGTTTGCAGTTACATCAATTCGCCGAGGAAATGAGTGAGGGAACGGAAAGGCGAGTGATTCCGAAAAATTGAAGATGTTTAACAAAGGCGTTGCAGTCGCTCAGAAATCGCTGAAAGCGGCGGTGGCGCCGCTGCACGGCGGTGAAAAACCTGGTTTCGGGATCTATCACGCAAGGACCATGAAAACAAAAGTTCTAAACTGTCGCAGGTACACACGGGTGATCGATCCGTGCTTCCCACTCCAAGGCATAGCTTCGTTGCACTGAGTTTGCCAAGGAGTGCTCAGTGCCCCTGCTGGTCTGTGAGCAGAGTAAAACTCTTAGAAACAGAGGGTGGCACACTTTGACATTGGGTTTTCAGTTAACTCAATTCCCAGGTCGAAAATGGTGATGGAACCGCAAGGTGAAAGGGTCAGCGCACTTGTATTGTTTGAACAATCTGTTGACACGTCTGCGGTGGCGAGCGTCAGCGCGACTCAGCTGCAGGAAAACGCGACAAAGGAAAGGTTTAAGGGAGGTATCATGTAAACCACCATGAATCAAAACGTGGAAAAGTAGGGTGACAGCTTGTGAACAAGCAGGTACGTCGATTTGGCGTCCCAATTCGATATCACCAGCACACATCCAGTGTCTTCGTTGGTGCAAGACTGGATGGGCTGCTTGCACCCCCTGCGATGGTAATCAGCAAGTTTAAACTCTTAGAAACAGAGTGTGACACACACAGAGCGCCGATATCGGCGCTCCGGAGGAAATTCCTAAAAAGCCTTAGAAAGAAAGAAAAAGAAAAGACAGAAAAGGGAACGCAAGGGCAAGAGAGAAAAGTAGGTGTAGTTACGAGGCCCACTAGTTACGAAACCTGCTAGTTACTGAATACTTAGCCGCATTAATTAAATGCACTAGTTAGCGAGCGAGACATTAGTCTTAAACCGCTCGGGTAGCTAGAACTAGGACAGGAGAAACAGAAGGAAAGGCACCGACACACAAGTGTGTCGAGTACCATTTCCTTCTGTTACCCTAGATAGCGGGTGGGATAACAATGCGAATTCGGTTGCAAGGTGGGGGGGGTGAGTGGATGTGTGTGTGTGTGCGAAACATATATATGACCGTAAGCCCGCGGCGGTGTGGAAGTTCAGTCGCAATTCCGTAGGCCCGGCGGCGTGGAATTTCGGGAATACAGTGGTGAGACTAAATCGGTTAAGATAATCCAACGTGCGCAGGAAGCAGGAAAAGCGGCTAGTGGTACTCCTGCGTGAAAACAGCGCCCCAGTGACGGGGATCACACCCTGCACCCAAGTGGGACGGCAGAGCGACACACACTTTGACATTGGGTTTCAGTTAACTCAATTCCCAGGTCGAAAATGGTGATGGAACCGCAAGGTGAAAGGGTCAGCGCACTTGTATTGTTTGAACAATCTGTTGACACGTCTGCGGTGGCGAGCGTCAGCGCGACTCAGCTGCAGGAAAACGCGACAAAGGAAAGGTTTAAGGGAGGTATCATGTAAACCACCATGAATCAAAACGTGGAAAAGTAGGGTGACAGCTTGTGAACAAGCAGGTACGTCGATTTGGCGTCCCAAATCGATATCACCAGCACGCATCCAGTGTCTTCGTTGGTGCAAGACTGGATGGGCTGCTTGCACCCCCTGCGATGGTAATCAGCAAAGTTTAAACTCTTAGGAACAGAGTGTGACACACACAGAGGACCGACATCGGCGCTCCGGAGGAAATTCTTAAAAAACCTTAGAAAGAAAGAAAAAGAAAAGACGGAAAGGGGAGTGTGACACACACACACACACACCCGGCCGCTTTGCGGCGCTCGCGCGCAACACCTAAAAGTCCAGCCTTGCAGCTTGCCAAGGGCTGACAGCCCCGACAGCGAGCCTGAGATGCATTGATTGCTGCAGATGGATCCGCACTTTTCACTTCCCCTCACTTCCTCAGGGGGCTAATGCACAAACCTAGGCAAATCTCCACGCGATACATGATAATGTGATATAATGTGTTCAATTGGTTTCGGCCATTTTTGAAGATGTTTCGCAACTCCGGCCGGTGTCCTCAGGGCGCTTGCCCAAATTGTCGAACTGCCAATGCTGCTTTGGGCACCTCGAATTGCCGGGCCAAACCGCTCTCATGGCAGGTGGCCCAGGCGCGAAAATCAGAACCCATCAAGATGCAAACACAAGACATCAAAAGATACATGAACCCTACCAGAAGACATCGGGCCGAAAAACAACCTCTAGACTCTAATTTTCCCAAGTGCATCTTGCGCGCCTCACAGGACGTGGGTTCAAGACCGCTGGACCTAGAGACGCAGTACCGTTTCCTTGCGGTTTTGTGCCAAGATCCAGAGGCGGCCACAGCCCCCGAAAGTTTCCATCATTTTTTGCATTGTTTGCCAAGAGTTGTTGATGGAACACATTCCCCGGTTAAGATAAATTGTCCTGCTATTTCACAATCCTGGATCCCACAAGCATTGGTTTCCCTCTGTTGAATTCGGAGGCAGTGGTGCACAGCCACTTGATTGCCATTGTTAGTGATCTTGGTGGGTGGAAGGGTTGAGATGTTGCCTGAGCGAGTGAGATGGTCTCTGCAATCACACACAAGTGACACCGTATCCACCAGAATGAATGTTTGCTCATTTTGCATTTCCTTACATGTCCAGAATGGGAAAGTGCAGAAAGGTACTGTGCTTTCCGCAAACCAGAGAAAATGATTTGCTCTGAGTTATGGTGGATGCGAGTTACTTTTGTTTAACAAGTTATTGGTTGGCTGGGGGGTTGAGTCAGCGGCCAACCCAGTTAGTTATCCACTGCTAGACCCCTCCCCTCCACAGGCTCAACTCCCCCTTGGACATGTCAATTAGCAGTTCTGATAGCATCCGTTTTGGGACCATGTTTCACATCATGCCGCGCATCCACACCTCTTATCCCATCCGTTTTAAGGCCACGCTAGCTTTCCGCACCAGCCCCCAGCCTCAAGTTGTTCGCAACACCCTGGTTTATCGAGGGACTAAGATGTTGTCCACACGTCCCTAACAATTGGTGTAAACATGTGCCAACGCCCCAGCTTTCAACTTGGGGATTGGCATATGGCTCGCAGTCAGCCCTGTTTGTTGTTCTTGGAGAGATAAATGGAGAGAGCTAAAGGAATGCCCTAATTTCAACTTTAATCTAAAACCTAATGTAGCTTCATTGGCACTCCGAGGTTGGACACGTGGAATCTCATGTTGGTAGGATTGATCGAAGGAAATGAGGGAAAGGCAATGGACCCTTGTCCAACGATTATGTACACCGTGGTGTACATAGGGTCCTTGCCCCCAAAGAAAGCGTTCCAAGGGCTTGTGAGATCGTACCATGCATGGATGCTACGGCCCCCAATCATAGGGTCAAGCCACGAGTGTTTTTGGGCATTGAGGTGTGGCACCTGAGAACATAACTAATGATCGGTGTCACAGATTGCATGGGAACAAATGAAGTAGCTGGGTTTTTGCCCAGGCGCCACACAAACTTTGGTTCCACTCAATGTGTATATATATAGATATATGTAAAGTATAGTCTAGTCATGTCTAGTCTTAGTCTTTGCTACGTACAACATATTCAGGGACACAACGTCAATCTGATGTTTCACGAGTGTGGTCAACGGTGGCCCAAAGAATGAAATCGTCAGGCTCTGTCTTCCTGATCCAGGCCGTACTGAAGCTTCAAGACCTGCCAGACGCTTCGGTCATATGATGAGAGACATGAAGTTTTGTATTGCAAAGGAGAAGGACATGAATTGTCAGAACTTCAATGGAATCAAGACAGGCGCGTTGCGGAGGCAAGTCGGCCGCGCTCACTCAACTCATTCGTTTTGCTGTGCCTTGTACAAAGAGTCTTGAGATGGTGATAGCGATCACCGGCTGCACGGCAGCACGAAAAGTTTTGTTTGTTGGATCAGCACCACAGCCTTGACAACAAAACATGTTGAGCCTGAGCCTTTGGAAGATTCGAAGAATTTATTTAATGGGGGATTCGATGCGAAAGTGGTGCTGATGATCAACGCCCCAAAGCTGGGTGTGTCCTCACGACTCATGACTCTGAGGATGCTTTGGAAATAGAGAGAGACTGGCATTCTAGCTCTCAAAGCATCCAAAATCCAAAAGGCACGTGAACATGTCATGGCTTTGGGCTTGTTGATTTCTAGGCTACGATCCTGAAATGCGCCTGTACGGCGGCGAAGAGATGGAGATAGGCTGTGCAAAAGAACATTGTGCGTTTTTGCGTGTGTGTGTGTGTGTGTGTGCATGTGCATGGGGCATTGGCATGTTTGTCGCAGCGTTTTATGCCCTTGAATGCCAAGGCTTTCGTACATGGATGCCAAACACTTAGTTTTCACAAGTGTTTATATAGGCTATTAAGCGGCATTTGTTCAAGGCCTTCAACCTCGAAGTGTCACTTTTGGGGTCGCTTCCATCGGATACAGTTTGCAGGATTGTTTCGCGAAGCGATTCCAAGGTGCGGGGGTGACATTGAGTATTTGCCGTGCTCTCATGTGCCTAGGCTCAATCTCCCAATGTTTTAGGAGATATCTACTACTTTGACTGATTTTGCACCTAGGCCAGACGTATGCATAGCATCATGCGTTGCCCTCACCCCGCAAGGTTGGCCATATCTTTCGGACACCGAAGTATTGGCAAGGCGCTTTTTTGTCGATTTGCTGGAACTGCAAGACGTGGAGAAAACAGGGACGCCTTTGCGAAGGTTGATCCCCAGCCTTTGTGTTATAATGTCAACCCCGGATTAATAAACCCCCCCCCCACATGGTAGGTCAACAAGGTCAACAAGGTCTGAGATACCACTCATGAGGTCCACCCCCCCTGAATTATCGGCTCAGGGAGCTATCGTAGTCGCAGTCGTCGTCGGTAGTAGGTAGTAGTAGGTAGTAGGTAGTAGGTAGTAGTAGGTAGTAGGTAGTAGTAGGTAGTAGGTAGTAGTAGGTAGTAGGTAGTAGGTAGTAGGTAGAGGTAGTAGGTAGTAGTAGTCACAACAAGTTTAAACAAGCACAAAGAAAAGGCCAGGGACACAGGATCAGATTAATAGAGGGTAGTAGTGCAGATTATTGACGGGGGACCGGCCCTTGTGAGGGGTACCCTTTGTGAGCTTGTCAAATGATTGGTTTTTAATTGTGTTTTAATAAGGCAATTTATAGGCCCTGAGCCCTAGACATTTTAAAGGCTTTCATCAAACATGTAGTAGGTAGTAGGTGGTGATGGTGGTGGTGGTCGTGGTAGTAGCACGTAGCAGTAGCAGTAGTAGCAGCAGTAGTAGCAGCAGCAGCAGCGGCAATAGCTACAGCAATAGCTAGTAGCAGTAGCAGCAGCAGCAGCAGTAGTAGTAGTAGCAGTAGCAGTAGTAGTAGTAGTAGCAGTAGGAGTAGTAGTAGTAGTAGTAGTAATACGAAAAATTGACCTGGTTGTGGGCTCGGATTAACTGGGGGGGATTGTTGGTAGAAAACTAGACCATAGGGGGGAAATCAACAGCGAATAATACTATTAATTTGGGCAATGTTCGGCGGCTTTGTGGGCTCGGGTTAACTAGGGTGGATTGATTAATCCTAACTTGACATTATATACATATATATATATATATATAGCGGCAGCAGTTTGCAACAATAAGGTGACAACGATGATGAAGACTTACTGTAAAAACCGGGGTTCCGTGCTTCAGTGCCTGAGAATGGCGCAGGCCAGGTCTACAGAGTGCCTGGCGAGGAGATCTCACGAAACAAGCTACGGACTGCCGAGGCACATCGTCACATCGTCGATTTTTTTGTCAAAATCTGACGACGTTCGATACTCGGAAAGCCTGCTTCAAGGTTCAATACCAAGCCATGCGATGTCTCATTCACTCATTCACTCATCCACTGCAAAAGCAGCAAGATCTGGACAGAACACAGAGCTAGAGAGTCATAACACTCATTACACGGCTGCCTCAGGGACTTGTGGGCCAGTAGGGAATCGCACATTCTCAGTGTAGTTTTGAGACTTCTATTTGTAAAGCGTTGGATTGCGCGTTCTTCAGACTCCCCACGGAAGAGTCAAAATTGAAAAAATTATTGATGTTGGAGTCAGATGGTGTAACGTATGTGTGTATATTATATATACTGTATGTATATATATATATAATCCGTTGCCGAATACCCCTATAGAATGGGGGAGGTCGAGCTCCAAAATGACCTGGCATTTTATAGAGAGTTTTTCTAGAATCAAATGTCAACCTACCTGAGACAGATCCACTCTGAGGATCTCTGAGGTGAGAAAATCATATATTGATGGGTCAATAGGTTGATCACCCTCATTTTATAGAGAATACATGACAATTGAGGACATTTTATAGAGGACATGGTTTTGATTCTATAGAGAGAACCTGGAACAGTAGAAGGTTGAGAGGTTACTTTAGAGTGGATGGATGTTTTACAGTGAGGTAGGTTGGATTCTGATTCTGATTTCACGAAATATCCGGCGCATTCTTGTGCAATCTGGTGCATGCATTCCCACATTTCCTGTGGAATAACCGGTGAATATTGGCCCACTATAAAATGATTTTTTTGTTCAAAATTCAGCCCACCTTTCTAACATAAAAATAATCAACCTGTGAGTGTCCAACCCTGTCCTTACCTTATAAAATCTTAAAATGAATATCAACCTCTATAGACATATCGTGTTTTTGGAGTGTCATTTTCTGTCCATTTTTCATATAAAATGAATTTCAACCTTGCAATGTTCAATAATGTTTCTATAGAATAAAATGCCAACCTCTTTTGCCATTGCTGCGTAACTTTCCTCCAAAATAATATGTCAGCCTTGATGTTACACCCACTTGTTTATAGAATGAGGACCACCCCTGGCTGTTTCTATTGGATAGTTCAGATTTTGAGCCTACAATTCTGTTACATTAGTGCCTTAAAGGTTGACTCCCTTTATTCTATAGAGAAACTATGCTGTACACTACAAGGGTTGAAAGCTAGATTCTATAGTGGGGCATTGTGCTCCCAGAGCCTGGTTCAGTCATTTATCACTATAAAATGGGGTTCTCAACCCCCACCGGTTATTCCACAGAGGATTATATATATATGTATGTAGTGTAATGTAATGTAATGTAATGTAAGTATGTATGTTTGTATGATTCCAGTTTGAAACCCCCAGGTTTGGATGGATGAATTCCAGTCTCTAGTCAAGTTCGCCGCTGGCCCTTTGCGTGGCCCTCGAGGGTCCCTAACAAGCTATGCTGCAGACCATGTTGTCGCCGAGGCCGCCCTCTTTACCCATTGGCAATTTGGAACCCAGAAAGCAGCTGCGAAGGAAACTCCAGTGCAAGGAGAGGGCTGATGTCTTCTCGGAAAGAAACTAAGAAAATGGCCCTGAGTGGTGCTACTCGCTCAGCGCTTCCAAATCAACCTTCTAAGTATGCTAGGTTTACAACTGCTTGCTGGATGATGTCCACTTGCTTCTCAGAAAGGATGCAGATTGATTTCGGAGGACTTTCGCTGGTATCTCCAGACGGTGACCCCTCACTTATTCGTTCCCAAGATCACTCCTGACACCAAGGCGCGGTCACACACTGCAACAACAGATGCTGCCATTAAAAGTACATCAGGGACATGTCGCTGAGAAAGAGTGATTGGCCATAGTGGCCAAATAGAAGATTTGGAAGCAGCGACCTAAATAGTGGACTCAGGAAGTCCATCGGGTTTTCATTAGCCCCGCGATATACTGTAATATCTTGAGCCGAAACCGAGAATCGAAGATCAAGTTGAATCTAGTTCTCCATTGAATTCTTCTGCCGGGGAGCATGGTTAGAAAACACAAACTTAGAGCACATTTCCACATTCCTGTGCAACCTCTGCCCAAGCATGCCTCATACAAGAAACAAATGTTGGGCCTTGTTTTGGCTCGCCAGCTTCCGCCGAGAATGTAGAGAAGATGCCCTCATGTTTGCCCTTGTTTTTCAGGGAACTGTATGGTGGTTCACCTGCGCTTCATTCCTCACAGACCTCTTGGTTTACATTGAAGTTCCTAAATGCTAAGTCGGAGACAGTGCTTATAAGTACTGCGCATGGTTCTTTAATACCTAGTATGGCCGCACCGGTGTCACGTATACTGAGTAATGTTGCTCGCGGTTGTGTGTTTTTCGAGCTGCAGCATGTTGGTCTATGATCCCACGTTTTGGCGCATTCAGACGATAGGGGCGAAAAGCTGCCACGCTACCCTGTACTTGCTGACTGTGTGCTTCAAAGATCTTCTAAGGCCTTTGCAAAGCTTTGACCAGTCAAGTGCTACTAAAGTCTTTACTGTATATTGTGCAGTCACACTCCGTAGACATTTCGACATGGACTGGGACTGGGACATGACGCTTCAAAGCATGAGACCTTTCATAGACATTCGAGGCTGTACCAGTGGCGAAAGCTTGACCCAGAATATGCACTGCTGTAAATTTTTTGCCGCCCTCTCTGTCTTTGCAGCAGTGGACATTTTTTGTACATGTGATGACAACATAAACCGCTAGCGCTTGGGCCAAGTAAAAGTCCGCTTACCTGAGTTTGGTAGCGGAGCATCCTAACTGCTTCTATCTTCTTCTCCGGTGTTGGAACATCGGAAGTTAACTGAGAAGGAGTAGCAGTCTCTAGGTTCAGGATGTCTGCGGGTCTACGACCAAATGCCATCTCTAGTGGTGTTACACCACCATACGTAACGAAGGAGTTCCTAGCAAGACAAGCTTGACGGACCAATTGTCGATAAGTGACATCCGCTAGTGCGGGATCATCTGCCAAGGAATTCACCATCAATGTAACCTGTTTCTTGAAAGTACGAACTGCAGCTTCTGCTCGATTAGGCCAAGGTGTTCCTGGTCCTAGTGCAATAGGCCTAATGTTTCTACGAGCATAAAAGTCTTCAAAATCTGGCTGAGCCTGCATGAACGCTTGATCACCTACAATCGTCTTGGGATTGATCTGGAAGGTCTCACAATATTCAAGAAACAAATTGATGGTTTCCTGGAGTTCATAGTATTAACCACATATGCTGTAGACAAGGACGTAGCACCGTCGAAGAGTATGATAAAAACAAGTTTCTTCTTACCACCTTCAACATCAACCATACCATGATCAACAGAAGTGGGTTCACCGAATGTTTCACTGCGCATGCCGGAAACCTTGGCGCGTGAAGGTGCTCTCTTGGAAGTCTGGCATGTATCACAACTCTTTACCACTGCGTCATACTGTTTATGAATGTCTTCTGGTAATTTGAGAGCGGAAGTTCTTCTTCTGAACTGATCAGTTGACATGTGGTAATGTTTCAAGTGAAGTCGCAGTAATACAGTAACTCGGTAGGAGAACTCAATTTGTCATGTATTCGTTTCAAGGCTATGGGCATGGTGACTGTTGACTTGGGTTTTATCTTCCCTGGTTCTTTCTTCTCTTCGACTTTTGGCTCGTCCGGTACAGGCTCGCGACTATCCGGCCTTGCCTCCTCATCGTCATTCTCGACAATCTCTACATCAGGTGCATGACGGGAACTGCTTGCAGTTCCGCTAGGGCGGAAGCCAACGTCTGGGGCTTCCGTCGGAATTGTGTCAAAACGAACTTTGTCGTCTGCTGATGTACGAGGCTTCATCTTGATAGTATGTCGAACTGGAGGATTATCTTCAGAGGATTTATCTGGCTTGGCCGGTAGTTCGGCAGTATCCTTTGTCTTCTTGCAAGTCTTGTCGTAAGTATGAGGTCTGTGTTTGCCATTGCAAGCTGGACAAGTGATGGCTGCAAAACTGTGAGCCGGTTGTCGATCTGCACGAGCAAGGTCGAAGACATTGAGAATGGTATGATCGGAAGTTGATACGGACAACGGAAAGTTCTTCAGACCAAACTTCTGGCAAGTAAGGAATTCTCCGGCTGCAGTATGCATAAGTTCAAACTCAAGATTTCTCATCCGTTGAATGCTAAACAAAATCGGAACCTTACCCTTATCCAGAATGTCTATGGTGGTCGAAACAGAACTTCCGTTAGAACGGGCAAAGTACATGACCAATCTCTGAGTGATCACGGACGTTTCCCCGTTTGCGAACGTAAACATACTCCGACATGGTACCGTCTTGAACCAAATGAGGTTTGGTTCCTGCTTCGAACATGCCTGCATCAAACGGTTCACGGCATGTCTCGATCCCATCGACCGCGTGCATCCTGTATCTAAAATCACGAAAGTCGGCTCTCGGCTAAGATCAGTCACTGAACTAAAGAAGGACTGTTCAGAGTGTTGAGCACAAAAGGACACAAGTGAAGTCTGTTCAGACTTTGTTTCTTTGTGTGTTCCTTCGGTGTCTGTGCCGAAAGCATGAACCGTTAGTTCGGTTGTTGTGTTCTCATGTGCATGCGAAATATCATCTAGCCGGACTGATACCAATCTTCTCCATAATAACCCCAATCCTCGGTACCTACACCACTCGCATCATCACCTTGCCAAGAGGTGCTTTCTGCTGTTGTTGACGTGGCAGAGGGATCTTCTGTCACGTTGGCCTTTCCTTTCTTGCTCTTTCCTTTGGCCTTTCCTGCAAATTGCTGTTGATCCTTGCCCTTGTTTCCTTTTCCAAAATATGGCTGATGCCATTGCGGGGTGTAAGACTTGTTGCCTTTCTTGCCTTTACCTTTACCAAGGAAGGAGGAGTCCGGATCTTCATATTCGAAATGAATCTCTGTCATGTGCGAACTGCCTTTCCCCCGACCACGGGGTCTGAAACCTGGCCTTCTTCGACCTTTTCCCTTTCCTTTACCTTTCCTGAATCTTCTGCAGAGAATTTTCCTTCTACGATAACCTTGTCCATCAGCTTTCAACACAAGAAAATGATCTTCGTCGTATAGCGCCATGAAACCTTGTTCACCTGTGGTTTCATCGGTCACCCAATAGCCTTCTTCGCCATCCATGGTGCCGTGTTCTTCAATGAAATAATGAAATATGTTCGACGCCTACGACCGCTAGGGCGGTGTTGAAGCTGTGGATCGCTAATGCTGGTTCTACTCACACAGAATAGTTGTAAAAACTGTGTCTCGACTGCCTGATACTCGTAGTTTTTCATTGGGGTGTTTTGTGCATTCATTGCTGATACTAGTCGTTCTCGCTGTTGCTCGTTCAAATCTGCCTGCACAATGAATATCATGGCAATCAAATTCCCAGGCAATGGGAATGCGGCTTGATGTGCTTGTCTAGCTGCTTCTGTTCTCTGATTCCAAATTTGCTGCACAGCATCGGGTCTGTCTTCTGCGTCCATCGCTGCTATTTCAGCACGTTGTGCTGCAGTCAATGTGTTGGTAAACTCGACTGTTTGTGGTGCCGGATAGTCTCGGTAAAGGTCCATCCATGCGTTTTGTAAACGTCTCATGGTGATGTCGAAAAGCCCAATCCAAGTGACCATTTCACGGGAACCACGCCATTGTCGAAACAACTGAAGGAATCTGCTCGGAAACACATGTTGATGTCCTTGATGAAAAATGGACGAAGTGTTCGTTTCAAATAATCGACTCCATTATCTGCATCTGCGAGCAAACGGTTCTCTAGCATGCCTTTATAGTGTGCGGCTGCACCTACAAGACTGTTCTTCAAGCTAGGACCGTTTTTGCGAGGAGTCAATGTTGTCAGGTTCAACCAGTCGTCTATGCAATCTTCATACTCGAACCAGGATGTTAAACCATCAAAAGTCGGTGCAATCTTCGGAGTCATCCTAAGTTGAGAAGTCTCGGGAACCTGTGCTGCGTACGCATCTGGCCTACGATGTCCTACCGCTAGAGCGGTCTCAGGACTTGTTGGTGTCTGGGCTTGATAATACGTAGCGCTGCCATCTGGATAATAATATGACTCGTGGCCTTCTTCTGAACTCTCGCTATCGCTCATTGTGTGCTAGCTGTAGCGGCTCTACTCGAACGAAGGTGCGCCGAAGCACGCCCGTTAGTTCGGGATTTCTGGAGCAACGAAGCTCCGCTACCACTTTGAGGGCAGAATCCCCCGCAGTGGGCCGTCTTATCTACAGTATCGACCTGGATCGAACTTACAGACTAACAAACTCACAAGAGCGTGCGAGCGAAGGCGGGCTGAGCGGTTTTTATCGCACAATGTACCTTGAGCCAAATGTAATGGCCGGTCATACGAATTGCGTAAGAGCATATCATATAACATAACCACATGAGCAACAGCGAATGGTGGCCCCAAAACAAGAAACAGGGGGCTGGTGGCTTGATTGGGCCATTTGGCTCAAGCCATCCCCCCACCTGATTTTGCCCACCCGCCCACACCTAATAGAGGTGGGCAAGGCAGGAGTTTGAAACTGACGCCCCATAGGCATACAAAGCACGACCAAAGCTTGAAAAAGTAATGGAGGTTGTGCATACCGGGCATACCGTTGTCCAAAAAAGAATGTTGCGAGGTGCGGCAAAGAGGAGCAGTCGGACCAATCGGTGGAAAACCTTTGCGGCCAGAACTCACGAAGAACATTCATACGGGCGGAGGTGTCACACACATTTATACGCACAGACAGAGCAAAGCAACCAGCAAACGAGCATACGGAAACATTCAAAGACGAGAGACGCCAACACCGGCACGTGTTTTTTGGGAGCCGTGTTGTTTTTTGGTGTGTGTGTGTCTGTGTGTTGTAATGTTTTGCTACTACCTTGAACTTTGGCTGGCTTTGATTTTCTTAGGGTGGGGGCCCGCCACACTTTCCAAATTGCAGGGTGGCGCTCTGCGAAATCAAGTTTTGGACGCTTGCACCACTCCAAGATCCCGCCCGGAGGGGTGGCGGGATTTGTGAGTCAAATCCCTGCAGAAAGTGGTTTTGTGTCGCGCGTTGCGAAGCATCTAGATGCATCAAAGCACGTGACGGAAGAGATTGTTGACAAATTTTCACTGAGGTTTGGACACACTCGGCAGTCAAATCCCTAAGCAATTGCGGTAGAACAACTAGCAGCCTCAAAAAGCAGTTGATGTCATCAAATCAATCTCATAATTTCTTTGTGGGTCCATTTGTGGGTCGACCTCATCATATATCAAAACACTCTAGCAACGTAACTTAGGCCACTTCCCCGGAGAAACCATTGGAGCCTATCCTTGTCATGGTCAGCATGGAACGCAGGCAGCTAAACGAATCTCCGTGTTTGCAGCACAGCTCCCAACAAACAATCCGAACAATTTGTACAGTATTTCATCAGCTGTTGGACTCGTACTCCCTGTGGAGTCCTGCTGGGCCTGCTAGGCCTTTGTTGAAGACACGTTTGGATTGATGCGAGTGCTGCGGGCCCAGCATCATCCAGCTGTTGGCAGCATTCCAAAGTATACTGCGCCCCTTCCAAGGCCACAGCTCGGCTACAAAATGTGTTCATCTTAGCACTGCGCCAATGCTGCACCCAGTGTCCAAAATGCTGTGAAACCTTCGTTCCAAGGTGCCTATCACACGAGGGCACCGTTGTGGCGGTTCGACCATGCAAGGAGTGCTAGTGGCTTTAACGTGCCCTTGGCCATGGAGGGACATAGACGCGCGAAAGTTTGTTTTCTTGATGTTTGAATCTTGTTGCACGGGGCAAAGGCTTAACAATTGGCAAAATTTACTTTCATGTTAAAAATGTGTGTGTGTGTGGATACATACCGTGTATGTACTGTATCTACTTAATGTCTATATAAAACTGTGTCGAGCTTTGGGCAGGTTTGGGTGCACAGTATTCATTACACTTGTTACACTGTCCATTTTGGCTCAAGCCAAAAGTGGGACAGTGGAGTTTCTGTTCTGCTTAAGTTTTGCTGTGTTTGCTGTGGATGGCTTCACAGCATATCGTCGGTGTGCATGTCGCCATGTTCACTGATGCCGAGGTGCTTTCGTCCGCCGCGTTCATCGAGTTCCGTCGCCAGGTCGATGCCCTTCTGGCCCGGGGGGGCCGGGCAGGCGCATTGCGGCTTTGGAGCTCGGTGGTTCTATTTGAACACATGCCTCCCTCTCCACGGGGGACGAGCCAGCAGGTTTTCCCTCTACGCGGGTCTCCGTTTGCCCCAAGAATGAGTGTCCACGCTGCGATCAGGGGCGAGGGGGCTTCTTTTTCCCGTGGGTCGGGATTTGGAACCGGCGTGGGACCATCGTGCCCCCTGCGTTCACTCCTCCGCAAGCCTGGGATAGGCATGCTCGTTTGGGCGCCTCGATGGACCTCCTCGTTGCAGCCCTACCGTACCCCATATTCTGCAGACAATTTTGCGCCTTCCTATTTATGGGAGTTCATGCAGAAGGTACCCGGGGATTCGGACCTCTTGCCCCTGCAGACCTCTCAATCCGAAGTTCTCTGCTACATGCGGCACTGGATTTTGGGATCACCACATGGGTTGTGGTCCAACCCCTTTCGTGCCCAGCTGCCAGATATCTCGCACTTGCCGCGCCACCTGGATGCTCTTCACCCGAAGATTCGTGCCCATCGAGCTCTTCACGGATGGTTGGGGTCCTCAATCAACGGAGAGACGGAGTTTCCTCCAGCATGTTGCGGCTGTGGTGATCCCACTTATCGGCAGCGCCTTGGTTGTATCAAGGGAGTGTGTACCGCCTGTTTCCCAGCGCTCCAAATCTGTCCGGTCTGCCGCGAACTTTCGTCGTCTGATGACGATAGTGGGTAGTTCCGCGGGTGCGCAAGCCATGGTGTACCGCGCGCAAGTTGCCGGAGCCGTGGAGGCTCCACCGGACGAGCCTGCCTCTTCCGCCAGCTGGCGGGCGGAGGACAGCTCCCACCGGCACGCCGAGTCATCGCTGCGGGGTTGGTCCGGACAGTTCAAGGCATCCCAACAAGTCCCACACGTTGGTGGAGCCAGGATCTTAGCCTTTCGCAAGCTGTACCCAGCTCACTTCTTCACGAACTTCCAGTTCCCTATGGTTGAGGACATTATCAATGCAGCCCCGTTCAACGCATTCCCTGCTTGGTTGCACGACAGGCATTATGATACAGATGGGCCATTGGGCCCCCACTTGGCTGATGCTCATGTCCGTCAAACTCTACGTACTGCCGAGGGCCAACAGGTGGGTGCGCTGAACCAGCGCGCAGCCCTGCCCCCGCTGCTCTCCTACGATCTCAGCCCTGATGAACACTTCGCTCAAGCCTTGGACCGGGGCCGAGACCTTCTGCCCACGGAGTTACCAGCAGTGCTCGACCTCCAGTAGGACAAGTCATCTGGAAAAAGATGTACACCGATCACTTTTTTTTGGCCATTGGGCATTGTAGCCTTTTGGACCACAATGTTTTGATCAGATGGATGTTTGCTAAGAAGCATGCACTCAAAAGAACACATCCGCTACCATATCGTCACACTTCCAGTGGCGAAGCCTGCTATGAAGAACCGTTTTTGATCAGCTGGACACTTGCTAAGCAGCAGGTGCACAAAAGAATTGATTCATAGTTCAAAGGAATGAGCATGAATTTCAGAGAGTGATTCCGCACTTGACTTGAAAGAACGGCGCGAATGCTGAGTCGGTCAAACTGCAAGGTTCACTAGCCCTTTACTTGCGTTGGAACTTTGTGGTTTAGCCGCGTTCGAGCCATTAAGTGGTTTAGTTAGCCCCAAAACATATGTTTAAAAAACACATGGGCCTTAGTCGATCGAGCGTCATGCGCAAGCGTACTAGATTTGTATGTGTGTGTTTCTGCGCGCCCAGGGGCAACATGTTTTTTTGAAAAACTCACCTAGATAATTCACATATGGTGCCTGCGTCCGTTTGTGAATTCCCTCTTTTTTCAGGTCGCCTCCATCAGAAAAACATTCAACTGGAGCAAAGCACGTTGCAAAACGCGTTTGCTCAGACTCTGCACATGACAGCTCCCTTTGCCGATGTTTGCGATCCGTCCTATGTAGTCTTCAGCATTCCAGCAGGAGTAAAAACGGGGGTTCATTCTTGCGCCGTTCTTCAGACGGCATAGGGTCTCGCAGTGCACGCTGTGAAACTTTGGTCTGAGCTTATAGCGAGGGGCAAGTTTTTCATGAGCAGCTGTAGCTAGATATGTCAAGCTCTCCACATAGAGCATTCCCAACTCAATGATCTGCTCGGCTTGCCCCTCGCTCAAGAACATCGGGGCACAGTCCAGGGCCATTCCGAATTGGTGCCCTGCCCAGGCATTCACTGCCTGCTTTTCAAGTGCCTCTGTACCCGCATTCGTGGCATCCTTATAGAGGTCCAGTGTGCACACATATTGGAATCAGTTGCACGCGGGCACAAACAAACCCAAAACAGCGCTTGAAACAAGTTATAGATAAGGAACTTTCAAGCGATCAGCCAAATAGGCCATCCTCAGATCCCACAACTCTCAAACATATAGTTTTGGTTTGGCAGCATGCTCAAGTAAACCGCATAACTGCACATCCACATGTTTTGCTGAGTAACATCACCCTGTTGGAAAAACCATGATTGCAGCTTTGAGGAAAATCATAGGATATGGCGTCCACCCCAAGTCTGCACAGACCTGAATCGGAGGTGAATAATAAACCCCATGTTTTCAAGACTGCGTTTAAGTTCATACTCAAAAGTATTGCTTGCAGGTGAAATAGTCTTGCGCCAAGGCGCTCCAATCGTCTATGTTTGATGGAGCCAACTTGTTCTCTTTACACCATTCTCGCGCATCAAGAACTGCGCAATGAAGTTTGTCGTCCCACGTATCGAACTCAGCACACCAGGGCGCATGTTCAACAAGGTCGCACAACAATGATCCGGCAGCGTCACGGATCGTGCCCAACCAGTAGCTGTGCAGAAGATCCGGGCATTCCATGGATGGATGCCAGCCCCAAAGATCTTTTAGGGCAATTTGGCCGCAACCTGAGATGTTTGGGTGAAATGTAAAACCTCCACAAAAATCACATCACAAGTTGCGTTTGGACTATCTATTTAAACTAGTTGCAAGTTCAATTTGCAAAAATGCTGAACTATGTGTGAAGCAACTTGTTTGAGCAGCGCGTTCCAAATCTGCTTCATTGTTGAATCTCTCGGACATGTCTACCCACGGCTTGTCAGCCGTTCCACACAAACACCGACGGCATATCAAACCGCCGTCCCCGTCAACTTTTTTGGTGGCGCGACCATAGTGACGGGTTTCCATCAACCATTCTCTTTTCCATTTCCAATCACCCATCCCTGCTATGTAGACCAGTTTCACACTGCCCTGCGTGCACTGGTTCAAAGTCCTGCCAATAGCTGCAGGACGACAATTGTTTTTAGACCGGCCGTTTATCACGACACAATAGGTAGTAATCAGGCAGATTTGTCACAGTCCTGACAAATTCTTTTTGTAAATGATCCAAGGTAAGGTTGCGAACACCCTCATAGGCAAACAGGCTCGATCGAATCACCTTGGTTTCAATCCACTACCCTGGAACGGACCTGAATGGTTGAAGTTGAAATTGGGAAAACCATAGCAAACAAGTTTCAGTCCAGAAACAGCAAAAGGGAAGCGGCAATGGGTTGAGCGTTTGTTGACACCCATAGAAGACCAGCTCAGAATCAACAGGTTCTTGTTCTTTTTGCCCTGCCCCTCGTCGCCGTGAAACGCGATGCCCACGGCGCTCGCGCGATCTGCATCTGGCCAATCGTGGATTGGATGAGACCTCGGACTGAAGTCTGGTTCATTGCTGGTCACGGATGTGGTCAAGCAGAGATTGGTGCAAGCTAGGGACGACCCCCATGGCTCTGATTTGACTTTTTCCCAAAAGTCTAACCAATCGAGATCTCCGATCCTTAGCACTAAGAGCTCGGTATCAGGGTGTAAATCAACACCAACATGTTTAAGACAAGCAATAGTAAAATGACCGAGAATCAACAAATGGGTTGCACCAGCTCCAATGACAGCGTCCCGCATTAGCTCTGGGGTCATGACAGGCCACTGTTTGTACACAATTGCTGGGGGAGCAGCGCCCTGTTTCTTGGTTCTTGCTTTTGCTTTTGCTTTCGCTTTCCCCTTGAATGGTTTCTTCTTTCTAGTCTTGCGGACCTTGGTCGCATCGATGATCGGAATCGTGACATACGTCAGTGGACATTGTATGATTGCCTGAAGCCAAGGAGATGGTGGTTCTATATGTGCACAGCTGGTGAACGCATAGCAAAGGATTGGTGCGGAGACTTGACTCACATGATTTAAGTTTGACCCTTTGGGGCCTCATCAGATCGAGACAAAGGGCGTTGGAAAGCAGCTTCTGCATGGTTCAAGTTCTTGCCAGACTTACCAATCTTTGCAGCCCATCGGATACCTGGTAAACTGGCGCAGGACCATATGCCTATATAGCTATGAATCCATTTTGTGAAACGGTCCCCCTTAATAGAAAAACCTAGATGCTTCCACTGACGTTGTCGCCGCCAGCTTCTTCCACTGCAGCACTTGCAAACTGCTGCAAAAGATACGCAGGCCTACCCTTCCCAATCTGGGCAGCCACCAAACGGGTCAGTGGTGACTTGAGGCTCAATCTAGGTTTTACCCGGG